TATATATATATATATATATATATATAAAATATTAAATAACTAGGTTAAATCTAGATCAGATCCATCTGTACCCCAATCCGATTTCGAAATACTATTCAGATCCAAATTTTGAATCTGAATCTGACCCGTTAGATCCAATATTGAATCCATATCCGGATCCAGATAGGGTCCAAAATTTGGGTTTTGGAATTCTTAACCCTAGTAATTAAAACAAAGATAAGAGTTGGGCTTGGGCGTGAGAGATCAGCAGTTAATGATACGGCTCAAGTTCTATCCCTGCCATTGAACTACGCGAAAATAGAAAGAAAAATAGAATCTTGGGGTGTTTCATTATACCTGGAAGGCGTCTCCTGACACAAAGATGAAGGAGTTGGGTGTGGGGCTGACCCTAAGCCACTCGCCTTCGGATTTACGCCTCACTTCTAATCCGCTAACCTCATCGGTGGAGAGTAGGTTAAAAGCACTGGTATCAACATGCGGGCCTTTACCCAAGGCTAGCTCTGGTTAGGGGCAAGGAAGGTAGTGGTTTAAACAAACAATGGTCATGGTCTCCTCAAAGTATAGGTTGAAGCGATCGGCCGGCAATCCTAGAGCCAGAGCATTGATCTCCTTCACTTTGAATGCCAGTTTTGTGGTTTCTCGACCGTAGGCCTCGCATGCTTTCCTGCAACAGAGAAACGAAGGTTGTTTAGATAAAAGCTTCATAATCTTAAACCAGGACTAAGATTGGATTTCGAACAACGGATCCTAAAAATCCCCTGGGAATTCAGTGACTCCACCACACTCTAGTTACCACAAAATGGAAAAGGAAAGAGAATCGCCCTGAATTCTCAAGGGATTGCCCCAGTTTTTGCCCTGAATCAATCAATACTTCATCCCCACTTTTAGTCAGTGTTTTAAAACCTGGATCGGCCAAATAATGGGACAATCCCTTGAGAATTCTGAACTGGACCAGCCACCCGAATGAGACACTGTTTTTAGAACTCGTTAGAATTTGAACAATGCTAGAGTGTTAAACTTCAGGAGCAGAGAGAGAGAGAGAGATTCTTACTGAAACTCCTCGGGGTTTTGAGGCCACAGACTCTTCAGGGCCACAGTTTCCTTGCAATCACGCTCCAGATTCGCAGGAATTTGATTACCCTCCTTCACAACATATTCAAAAACCTCAACGCAATCCCTGGTTTTCTTTGTGTGGTCCTTATCATGATAACCCATAGGGTTCTTTACATCTCTGGCGGCTTTCTTCTTCTCCTCGTACGGCAAAGCTGAGAACTTTGTCATTACTTTCTTCACATTTTCATATAGCTCAGGAGGTAAACCATGGTTAACAATAACAAAGAAATCCCACTCTTTCCATGCTTTTCTCACTTGAGAAAGAAGGCTTTCTAGATTGCCAGATTCCGGGGAATGGGTGACAGAAGTCGATCACGGGAGTTTCTTTGAGATGAACGACTTTGTCCAGCTTTGGCCTAGAATCGACAGGCTGAACATGCTCTGCTTGCAAGGAAGGGGCCATTCCACTCTCTTTCTATCTCTAAGAACAAATACTCTCTCTCTCTCTCGCTCAGCTACCACTGTCAGTGCCTTGAGCGCTAGAATCAGTTACAGAAGAACAGGGGAGGTTCTCAGCGTCTTTATCATCTTTGTGAGGGTCAAAGATAAACAGATGGAATATGCGCGTGATTTTTTAGATTCAACCATGTGATTTTTTTTTTTTCCTTATTTTGTAGCTCAATAAAATTTTCTAAAGTAAGACTAAATTATAAGCAAATCCACACAATGAGCCAATTTATTTTTTGGGATTGTATACAATGAGATCATTTACCTTTCATACAAACTGGTGGCAATTACTTACAACCAATGGTTTAAAACGTGGACATGTGACTCGGATCGAGCACTTTAAAAATCGATCCGGATAGGTGAATCGGCTATCCGGATCTAGAATCAGCTGAATCTGTCAAGTTAAAGCTTCAAAAAAATCCAAAAAAATTATAAAAATTCATTATAAATATTGTTTTTTAGGAATCCAATAAGAAATTAGGGTACTACATTATTAACTTTCATTATTTTCATCAATTAGTGAATATGGATATGTTTTTTCCCTCTATAAACTTATGTTAACCATTAAATTTGTATCACATAAAATATATAATTATACATGGACTATTATAAAGAGTAGACTAATCAATAAAAGAATGGCTATTAAAATCTCGGTTTGGCGAAAAACCCTAATCCGCTAAAAAAATTTAAATTATTACAGCCTAACTAACTATAATCCAAAATTATTAAAACCTAACTAATTATAATATTATATAATGAAATTATAATTATTAGTTTATATTTTATAATTATTTTATTAGACAAATAATAACAAATTAAAAATATTTTATAATATTATCTAATTTAAAATATATTATTGACAACTTTAAGAAAAATAGTACATTACATATTTATAATATAAAAATTAATAAATAAAATAAAAGATTTGGTTATCAATATAAAAATTAATAAAATACGTACAAATTTTGGTAATAACACTTCAATTTTTCAAAAATTTATTTTTTTAGGTTTCTATAATAAATTTAGTAAAAGAGATTGTTTGTAGAAAGATAGAGATTTCAAATAGAATAAAATTTTTATTTTTTATTTTTTTATTGCTTTTCATATTATTTAAAAAATTAATTATACCACTATTTACAACAAAAATTAACTGCTATACAAAAAATTAACTTTTTTATTTTTCATTTTTTTATGCTTTTTATATTATTTACGCTCAGAGGGGGTCTCGACCTTGAGACATCACATGAAGAAGCAAAGGTCTTAACCACCACACCCCCTCATCACATGTGGTTGTAACTTTTTTATTAATAGAATATA